CAGCAGAGTTTAATAAATACGGCAGTATCCGTACTCTTGAAAAAAACAAAAAAAAAAAAAAAAAAAAAAAAAAAAAAAACCCTCAACGCCGTCACCGTCTTTGTGAACTGGCTTACTGGTGTTATACCAAAAGCGGGTTGATGGGCCATTGAATAAGGGTATTTTCTGTAGCTAGTCAGTTAGCAAGTGCTGATGTGATGTGAAGGAAATAAGTGCTTGATGATCCATTAGAAATTTCACAGTAACCCCTGGATAACAAGTCGAACGAAATAAGCAATCGTTAGGAATTATTTAGACTTTCAACAGTTTTCCTTCACCCCTTTTCACTTCCATAATTTCCGTTGTTCGATGCATGTCATTCTTTTTAAGCTGCCCATTTTTCCCCAATATCCATTATTATATTGGGCAAATCTCCCTTTGTCTCCAAGCATTGGCAAACGGAGGCGTAGAACAAAGTTTCTTGCCCAAGCTAGAAACTTAAATGGAGCTGGAATAATAGGCAGAAGTTATTGAGCCTTGGAAACCTAACTGGACGGCCAAGCTTTGGGGAATCAAGCCCCTAAACGTTTGCCAGCTGGGATAACATGCTGACCATGTAAATTCCTACATAGGTAGCTTGTGTCTGTCCAGTTTTCGTTCCAAGCATTCGTCAGTCAAACAGATCCGACTGGATAAAAGATGGAACTAGATTTAATATTAGCGCTGCGTGGTATGGTACACGTTTCCCAGGTCAATTTCTGCAGAAAAAAACAAGACTTTCTGTGGCTGCGTTGCTAGCACCATACCACGGTGCCACCCGACAAGGGAATTCGCACCTTGTTTCAGATCTGTCTGGGGATCTGCCAGCGCACAGCTCAACCAGCGATGACCATTCCCAGAGCAGGTCTCAGCATCCTATCAGGTCTCAGCATCCTATCAGGTCTCAGCATCCTAACAGGTCGCAGCCAAGTACGGAGTGGACTACAATACAATCATCCTGAGGAGTCGTGAAGATGGTGCTGTGCATACTATGTAATTCAGCGAGAGATCAAACGCACTTAGCTTTGGGTGACATAATTGTGTTGTCAGCCGGCGACGGATCAACCCCTGCTCCGAGACCCCTTCGTGATTTCGTCTCCAAGAATCTGGCGCCATTGCCGCTTGCACACTTTACGGACTGAGGAGCTGGGTGGATATCTAGGTACATGCCCTCTGTTCTCACCCGTGAGGCTATGACTACGGCCTCGATATCTTGAGTCGCTCTTACAACACGGTAGATACCTCTCTCTCTTCCTGCCATCCTCGAACAGCTATCCTGAAAAGGCCGCACTCCCAAACCTCGCCATAACCCCTGTATCCTACACGAAGGAATTTTGATCCGTCCAATTTTCTTGATTTTCTCCGTTTTTGGGATTTTTTGGGGGGTCGTGGACACGATTCGGCACACATACAAGCCATTGGATATTCGGTTGGTCGAGAGGCTGAAAGATACCGATACTACGTATAGATTCTCCTACAAGCCTTCTAGTTTCCTAGCCGTTCAACCCGCAACGCTGGGGGAGCTGCTCTCGGTGGGGATTTCTCCTTCATACATGCTACTCGGTTTGGAGAGATGAAAGGGGGTTCTTCCTACTCCCATGGCTACACAGCCTACCCACATAGGGAGGGCGGGACATTCTCGATCTCACCTCACAGGAATGTCGATATTCGCTATCCGTCTGGGAAGGAAAAAGGGGGAAAACAATTTGTCATTTGTTTGTTGCAGGCAGAAGATATATGAGTCCCGTGTGGAGCGAGTTTGGCTAATTTTCATATGCATTTTTTTATCTTTCGAAATAGATTTCAACCACGCTCACATTCTGCTTTGCGCCGGAGGCAACGACTGATATACAGGCTATGCGCCCTTGGTGGCATTTCTTTTCTTGTTTTACTTTTGATTTTCCCCTCCTGGCGAGCTGCGATATTAGGAACAATAACGTTTGGTCTCTTTTTCTCCTGCAGACGATTCTTCAACTGGAAACCGTTAGATACTATGATCTCCTCATACTTTCAAGGAACTGCACGGGGCTGGGAACGGCAGGAACGCGTCCTTCTCTGCATACCCCTTTAGAAGATGCCGCGCCACATTTACCCATGTTCTTCTCCCATTTACGGAATCTCACCTACCCCACATCACCTCATAGATCTCGCCTTCCTCGTTTCCGATTTCGAAAGACGACACTCTTGAGATGCTCACAAAAATGCTTGAGGAGTTGCAAGCTGACCCGGACTCAAAACAACATTATGGGGAGATATCGGTGATTGAGAAAGATTTTGGTCAAAAGGTCAACCAGGATGTTGAAAGCAGACATGGCTTTGCCGCACAAGCGTCTCGAAGAAAGCTTATGGCTCAGGCGAGAAATTGGTTATTGAGTGCTACTCTACGCCCAACACACAGTTGGGTATACTGGAGAGATGCTGATGTGGAAACCGCCCCTTTCACTATCTTGGAGGATCTAATGAGACACAACAAGGATGTTATTGTACCGAGTGAGTTTATCCTATGTGTGTACACATGTATATCTCCTCTCTGTGGTTGCTAACCATCAACGCTAGACGTTTGGAGGCCACTTCCCGATTGGCTTGGTGGTGAACAACCCTACGACTTGAACTCATGGAAGGAATCAGAAACCGCTCTTGCCCTGGCGGAAACCCTAGATGAGGACGCTGTCATCGTGGAAGGCTATGCGGAGTATGCCACTTGGCGTCCGCACCTGGCATATCTCAGAGATCCCTATGGGGATCCGGATACGGAAATGGAAATCGATGGCGTGGGCGGCGTGAGCATCCTAGCCAAGGCTAGGGTATTCCGCTCCGGCGTCCATTTCCCGGCATTTAGCTTTGAGAAGCATGCAGAGACAGAGGCTTTCGGAAAGGTAATGAATGTTACTTAACCTCCATCGCTCTAAGTTTCCTCAATGCCTATTTGTGCACATCTGACTTGTATGAACGTTTGAAACAGATGGCTAAGCGTATGAAATTTTCCGTCGTCGGCCTACCCCACTATACCATTTGGCATCTCTACGAACCCAGCCTGGACGACATTAGACACATGGAGGAGATGGAGGAGGAGCGCAAGGCGCGCGAAGAGGAAGAGAAGAAGAAGGCTGAGCTAAAACAGCTTATGAAAGAGGAATTCAAGGATACAAAGGATGAATGGGAGAAAGATGGGAAGGCTATCCAAAATATCTTGAAACAGGATGAATTGGCAAAGAAGGGCGAGAAGAAAACAACCAAAAATGAGGACGTCAAGAAAAGGAGTAATTCTGGGGTTGAGGATGTGGACAAGCGACAACAACAATAGCAGCAAAACTAGCGACGATAACAACAGCAAGTTACACCCTTGGAAGAGGAACGGACATGTGTTTGGAACAAGTGCGTGTACGCGCACATGGATATATCTTATTTTTTTCATGCTAGACCTGTGAGTTTTCGCATGCTATCATACTGTTAGTTTCTTCCTCCCTAGCTACGTTGAGTTTGGCCCTTTACTATTTTCTTCCTTTGTTGTGCACTATTTTCTTTCTAAAGAATCCTGCTTCCAGGTGTCGGAAACTCTTATCTAACCAACGCTTCTCCCAGTTTCTAGTATCATTTTTAACTCCCCCTCCATACA